TTATATATAGGGGTTCTATAGGGATTATATAGAGGTTCTATAGGGGCTGTATAGGGGTTCTAAAGGAGTTATATTGGGGTAGGCCGGCGCAGAACATCACATCCAGCCTGGGCAGATTGTAGAGAGCATCCGAGCCACCCAGCGTGGTACATGCCTTCTCCAGAGCGCTGTCTAGGCTAGAGGTGCAGGCCCTAAAGCCAACATAGGGTTTGGGTTTAGGGTTCCGAAGCCCCAAACCTAAGACCTCAACCCTTTAACCCCATATACCCCTCAAAGCACGACCCTACACCCCAAGTTTGCCATGGCTTTGAGCGTGCGCGTTGGCTTCTCCCCGCCTAGTCAGCAGGAGTGGGCAGGACTGAGTGCTGCGTTGGATCGTTGGGAAGGCCTGCCGTTTCCCTGAGGGTCCAAGTACCTAAGTCCTGGATAATCTGTGCCAACTTGGATTTCTGTTTATGTGCACTGGACAGAAAATGTCGTACTTGGACCCTGAAAGAGGGTTTGACATTTTCAGTACCCATCCAAGAACCCACATGGAACTCCATATTGCCCCAGATTTACAAGGAGAGTTTTTTTTTACAGGAAGTGTCCATGTTTTTTACGGTGCTAGAGCAGGCCCCCGAAGTCCGTAACCCTGAAACCCAAGGTAACGCCAACCCGGTGCCCCAAACCTGAAGACTTTAAGTCTAGATCCCTAAGTAAAAATGCACTTGAACACTCTAAACCCTAAGCCCTCAGACCTAAACCCTGAAGCTGTGCTGCAAGGAACCCGAGGTATTCTGGCTCAGTCCCCACCAACAAGGTTTCACTGGGAGCAGAGCAAGACACTGGGACATCACTGTTAGTCGTCGGTAGGGGGCGCCAGGGACCTGCTGCGTTGGACCTACAGAAGCTTTGGGCTTAGGAATTGGGTGCTGCCCAGAGTTAGGCTGTCTTTTTGGGTGTATTTTTGTGTCCCCTGAGTTTTGCTTTCTGATACTTGCGAGGGAGGTGGCTTCAAGATTGTGTTGACGCCAGTAAGGAGAGAGTACGACCCGCCGTACTGGACCGATTTTCTTCACAGCACTGATGAACTGAAGAGAACAATCACCAAAGCGCTGCAAGGAAGGATGGCAGACTCCAGCAAGGAAGTTCAGGCAGCAGTATTCATACTTGCTGACAGGCTCATGGGCCGGAGTCGTTTTTGCGCCAGTCGCCAGTGGTACTGCGACAACAAGAGGTATGTCATTCATGCCCGGGAATTCGCGGCTCTGCAAAAGCTGATCATGTATACGTTCCTGACATAATTTGGACCTTTTTCAGTGTTTTTCCAAATCTATGCAGGATATACCATTCTTTGTACATGTTTGCGAAGCGTATAAAGCAGTTAAAGGTTTGCCCCGTGCCGACTTCCGCATCTTGCCCGCGTTGGCACTGATCGGGCAATGCAGATGTGCTCGCCCGAATGCAGCTTCCCTCTATACATTTCTGCCAGCTTAGCGGACCACCACCGGTTTGCCACAGTGCCTGCGGCAGCTTCAGAAGCTATGTGTCGGTGCTGTCGACAGAAGTAATTACTGGGGTTTAGAAAGTTGCCCGTGGTAGATTCTACATGGTAGTTGGTCTTAAGGGGCCGTAATTTTGCAAACTTACCAGAAACTTCTGTGGCCAGAGATTCGCCAAGCCCAGGTGCGAGAAAGGATACTGTATCCCTGCGAGTTCTTGGCTTACCCGCCTCATCCACCGTCGAGCAGGGACTTTTACCAAGAGCAGCGAGTCATCACTCCTTGGGTCGCTTAGCCGATGTTGTGTTTAGGGTTTAGGGTGCCTTCCCGCAATGCAAACATGGAAGCTGATATAGTCCCGTCTCCAATGGGACACCAGTCTTTGCGAGGTTTTTTGGGCTTCCGTGCTGTTTGGCGCGCAATCTCTTTGGACCAAAGTTGTATGACACCATGAAATCTCGCACAAATGCTGCAAGCGGTTATAACAGTTTCATGGTAGAAGTTTCTCTGTGGCCAGGGTTTAGGGTCCAGGGCTTTGGATATGGATTGAGGTAAGGAGGTGCACTGATTAAGCTTCTCGGCTATGAGTCAGATAAAAGCGCGGCAAGGTAAGGAAATGTGAGCCATAGTCTAAACTCCTCAAAGGGGATTATATAGGAAACTACTATAAGGGCTCTTAAAGGGGATACTAGGAGTTTAGACTATAGCTCATGTGCTAATTTTTTCGAAGCTTTGCAAGCATGGAAGCGGGACCAAGACACACTTAAGTTGAAATTTAGGACCCACATGAGCTATGGTCTAAACTCCTTAAAGGGGGGTTATATGCGGATTATTTTGGAGGTATTACGTAAGGGGGGTGGGAGTTGAGATTATAGATCATGTAGGGCACTTATAGCAGAGGCCTTTACATCTGCGGCGTGTTTTTCATTAGGTTGTCCTTGCATGGCCCATTCCCAAACTTCTTGATGCTTCAGTAGGAGTGAAGCCTCTAGCCGTCCTTACATCCTCCTCACATTATGTCTATTGATACATGATACGATATAATATATAGACAGGTGTCTATATATACATGTAGGTATAGCCCCTGTTACATATAGCTGTGTTCTTCACCCATCCGCCCTTAAGCCCTTGATGTCGCTGCACAAACAACCGAGGTCAGGCAGTGAATCTCAACCTTTACACCGTAATCCCTTAACTCAAAGACCCTAAACCCCTTAACCCTAAACCCCTAAACCCTAAATCCCTTAACCTAAAAATAGAAGAGGCTTCGGAGTCCATTGTACCCATATGAGCTATAGTTTAAACTCCTTAAAGGGGGTTCTATAGGGGACTATATAGGGGAGTACTATGAGGTGTATTAAGGGGGATACTAGGAGTTTAGATTATAGCTTATATGTTTAATGCAGAGATAAGAAAAGGATGATGTTGGTAGCTAGTCAGGCTTCTGCATTGCACCAACACGCGCCAAGGTTCTGCCTGGAGGCAGCATTGACGTCTGTCTAGGCCTGGGGGGATGAGTTACCCTAGGACTCCAGTTACCTAAGTAATGGGAACTGGATTCTATATACCCTATAGTTGCATAGCCCAGTAGCCTACTATTTAGGTAACTAGGAGCCCAAGGGTAAGAGTTTTGCGGTATGCAACCTTAAACCCTAAACCCTAAACCCCTAAAACATGCATTTTTGTTGGCGGGAAGACTCAGGGAAGGTGGTGGGTCACCATTCCAAGCATACAGAGCATCACCTTCACCATCTGAGGTATAGTCTAAACTCCTCGAAGGGGTTATATAGGGCCTTATATAGGGGACTACTATAGGGGTTATTAAGGCGGATACCAGGAGTATAGCCAATGGCTCATCTAGTTTTTAGCCTGAAAATTCCCGTGCAGACTGTGTTCTCGGCATTTGACGCAATACTTACCTAAACTCTAAACCCTAAACCCTAAACCCTAAACCCTTAACCTTAAGCCCTGAACCCTAATGTTAGACTCAACCCTGGAGGCCCAACGAGCCCCACGGCTCCCTAACTAAAACCAGATGTAAGGGTTCAGGGTTTAGGGTATAGGGGTTTAGGGGTCTTTAGGGTTTAGGGGTTTAGGGTAAGTAGTTGTTTTCATTTTGTTTTCCATTTTCCTCAATGTAGTCCCGATATATTACCCCAATGGGTACCTATATCCCCTAAAGCAATCCTCAGCTATCAACCCCGAAGCTTTAGACCCAACCCCTAGGCAGGGAAGTTTAGGGTTTAGGGTAAACCCTAAAGGGAAGCCTCACGTATCAGCCTTTAAAGCTATTGATCTTCTTACGTCTAGTCCTTGCAGAACTAAATGTAGCCCTAAGGGTCCAAGGACCCAAATAATAGCGTCCCTTTACATGGGTTATAGGGATATATAGGGAGATATGGGGACTGTATAAGGGTCCAAAAACCCAACCAAAAAAGGGCTTCATGGCCCAAATACCTTAATATTAATGGTATTTGGGATGAGAAACCCTACTATTTGGGTCATTGGACCCTTAGGGCAAGATTGAGCCTGCAAATTTTGAGAACTTGTAGCCTCGCACGATGCTCTCGTGAGGCGAGGTGTGCTTCCGCGGCCGATCGATCATGATCCTCCGCTAATGCTGTTGCGCTTCCTTCACATGGGATGTCCTACGTTGCAGGTCGACTTTTTGAAGAATTTGCTGCTGTTAGAGGCATTGACCACTAAATTGCCCAGAATCTTCCATCAAGTATGTTTGGTGCCTGTGTTTGCTTGAGGGATGTGTTCTGCAAGGTTTTCCTTCTTAGGCTGGCACCACTGGAGTTGCAAGAGTACCCGCCAAATGCGACTCAAACCTTGAATGCAGAACCTGGCAGCATGAAGGTCCTCAGGCGCTTCAACCCGCATGGGCTCAGTGAGTTTAGTGCTTGACAGGCCGTTTGCAGGCAAAACCCTAAGGCCTAGACTAACATTTTAACGTTCAGGGCTCAGGCATTGTTGCAGGTCTATAGGGGGAGGGTATACGCATGTATATATATATATACACACACACACCTATATGTGCGACAGTGGCTGTGATGGGTAGGTGTCTGTTATCTGTAGGGTTTATGGAGATTGGTGGATGAGTGTGGCTTAGGGTTTTCAGTTCCTTCCGGCATCATGTACTCTACAGAGCCTCACTCTCGCACCTTTTCTGTTCACCGGTCGACTCCATAGCAACTGCTTGCCTATGTTTTTTTGAGTCTTCGGTCCAACGCAAACAGGGTTTACCTAAAGGACGCTCTTTTGTCTGATGCAATCTAGCGCACAAACAACTATGAGTCCAATATCCGCGCAATGATTCTGATTATAGCCGACTTGGAGACCTAAGGGTGGCAACTTGGCAATGCTTGACCATTCGGTGTCGTGTTGGAGTTTAAGATTCGGGCAGCAGGTTCTCAACTGCTGGCCCTGGCAAAAGAATCCAAAAGATTCCACTGGAGGGAGGTACTGCAGGATAAGAAGGTCCCCTGCATGGTCAACGTGTTGTCGCTCAGGATGGGCTACCTGGCTCAGCCTGACTTTGGCGATGCTCACGTGCAGTCGCAGCTTGCTGCTGCAAGATGGGGCTTTTGGGATGTTGGCGGACTTCTCTCCCTAATGGGGCTTTCGCTTGCGGGGGACCTAGTCAACCCTGAGTAAGTTCCAATGCGTCCAGATGACTGAGTACTTGATTGAAGAAGGGTCTTTATTCCACTAGAACTCATAGCTTCAATATGTCCAAATAAATGGATTTATCGCCCAGGGTGCAAACGCCAATCGATGCATAAAATGGAGATGCCGCAACGGTAGAGTCTATCTATGCTCCCGTCTGGAGGGATTTGTCGTTTCAACGCGACGGGATGCATCTGGATCCCAGGCATGACGAGGGAAGTGTGAAGGCGCAAGTTAGGAAATAGCGAGATTTTTTTTTATCGCGATAAAAACACTCTCGCTATTTCCTAATACGGGGTTTCTTAGCTGCAATGGAGGATTTCAGGAAGTATCATGAGATCTGATCCATCGCGCCCTCACATATGGTTGTTTCACTGAAAAGCGGGTTTCCAACAATTGTGGGCCCATCTTGCGTTGCCTTAATTTTGAGAAACGATGAAGTTGTGCTCACATGATGAGATTGCACAACTTGGAAATTACTAGAACACGTTACGCGCTCTTTGTCAAGATTGGGCTGACATAGAGAAGTAGCGCTACATGTGGCGCTTGCTGTGCAAGTACAATCTTGCTAGCGGTCAGCTCAGACATTAACTCCAAAAAGAAGTATCATCAGTCTGCACCAGGATTCAGAAGAAGACGGCGGAAGCAATCGATGCAGACGGTTGGCTGCACTCGGGTGACAAGGCGCCTCGGCTCCACAAGCCCGTGCTCAGTCTTTTCTGGGCGGATCTGGGGCATGTGCAGGAATTTGTTACTTTTCAGAGCCTGGCCGGTCACACCCCGAAAGCCTTCCCGCCGCTATGATTCGCATACGCTACGGGAGGTTTTTTGACTATCGAGTTGCTTCGGATCGGATTGCTACTACACGCACTACGCGAGAAGCCGGCCTGGCTACCCTCATCTAATCTTACCTGCGACCTACCCTTACTGTGCGTAATTAGTGGCTCTGATTTTGGTCACTTCTTCCGTTTATCTTGCAGGCTGGCTGCACCAGTTGGACAGTGCTGACTTGACGCTGTCGACAGCAGCATGAACTGCTGAAGACTGGTTTGAAGACTACTAGCAGAAGCAAGCCAGACTACGCACAGCAGCATAGCTTTTACAAGGTCGTAGTTGATGATTCCATGTTTTAGGCTGATGTTGCCCTAGCTGCGGCGGCCGTGCTTTTAGACGCCTGCACCCCTAACTAGTCAACAAAGGGCATGCTCACCAAGAGCGGCATGCTGAAGGCCGGCGGGAAGAGGGAGTGATTGAGGTTGAGCAGAGCCAGTGATATGCTATAGGTGCCAGTATAAGCGACGAACAATGCGCTTCATGGCATCTTGCTTTTATTACTAGTACCAGGTGTCCTGATGGAACGAACTTGGGGGGTCGTCTGGCATTGTTCTGGGCTTATCCTAGGCCAAACCGTGTCTTGCGAGTAGCTTATTCTGGAAATCACCTTGTCCCACCCACCACATCCCCCCTCTACCCCACGAGTATCATCAGTATCTTTAGCGCCCTCTCCTGAAGATCACCGGCCGTTTCAAGGAGTTGTGCCTCGGACCAGAAGGGGTATGCCAGGTATGGCGCTTTGATTAAAGGGCATGTATGCAGGCTTGGTGTAGATTGCAGCAACATGAATCCTGATGCACGCGCCTTCATCTGCAAGTAGGATGTAATTTGCTTGACTTAGTGCTCAAAACAGGTTGCTCCTTCCCCAAACTGCAAACTCTGAAGACCCAAGCAGTCCATGTGCCCCTATCCAGAATCATCCACAGCAGCTCCAACAGTAGCAAAAACCTACTATCTCCACGTTCCCATCGAAGCATGTGTGAATATGGGTACATTCCACATAGATTGGTTTATGCAGGGCCACTCCATACATGTAGTTGGTATCCCAACTGAAGCTGCAAGCAGCTGTGACCAACCTGGGACTTCGCAAAGATGTTTGGGAAATTGCTTCTTGGTAGGAGTAGAACTCACAAAACAAGCTCTTTAAAGTCCTTGGAGCAAGCCCCGCCGACCTACAATCCCAACATGTCCCAGGAGTTCCTAGAGTAGCCCTATGCTTCGAAATTTCCGTGTCAGCAGAAAGCAAGGCAGCTTGCGACCCAGCAGACATGGCTTAGCCTCACTGCATTTGGGTGTTTCCCAAAAGCCGGGTACCTTTTTTAACAAGGAACATAGTATTTGGGGATCTATATTGGGCTGCCCCCATGTCTAGAAGTATCACATTTCGCCAGAAGGAATTTGAGCCTGACATGCAGCAAGAAAGAAAAGCGATTAGATTGATCCTGGAAGGGTGTGAGCTAAAGATCTGGAAGCCCTTCAGCCTGAAAACCCCACGAGCATCACCAAACAGCCTAGAATAAAGTCTACAGGCCCTGTCACATTCCCTGAGCCCTACACCCAGCCCTGCGAAGAGCAATGAAGACAAGGAAATGGACCCTTAGAAAACAAGTCATCCCAAACACGGCTCTATAGGCCACAGTCTATACCAGCCAGGATAGTTGCAATCCGTGCCTCAAAATCCTCGCGTAGTGTTACCGTGACACCAATGATTTGCGAGCCTCATTTTTCAAACATGGCTGCCCAGAGCGCCAACACACATCCCAGGATCATAGGTGATGGAGGTGAGAACATTGCACCAGTTCCCATCGAGGAGCCTGCAATGTGTCTTGATCCGAAAAACCATATTTGATCCGTAAAGTGTTCCCCTAAAATCTATAACTCCCTAAGTGACCCCCTCCCCCCCCCAGCAGTTCGGGCATTTTCCTTCGCATGAACGTGAACTTCCTGACTGCTCACGACTTTGACTTTTCAAACTCGACTTGCAGCCAAGTCATGACTAGGGCATCTATTGTGACAACAGTGCCTGCAGGCTGGCTGCAATTCACTACAAACCTGAAGTCAATTGACCTGGCATCCGCATCCTGAGCCCAGCCCTTGAGCCATAGATTTGCCGCAAGCCAGGACCACATCAAAGCGTCCTGCGATGGCATCAATGAGGTGGCTCGTCTGATACTGCCGCAGGGCAGGCAAAAAGGAGAAATGGATCAAGTATACTTCTCTTGGCCGGCCTCCCATGAGGCCCATCTTCAGTAGCTTCGGGGCTGTGCTGCACACAGCAGGTCATGATGATCGGAGATAAGCGGAAGTTCAACGTCGCCCTGGTTACCTTGAAGGCCTTCTGTTTCCTTTTGTGTCTTTTCGAAATCCGTCTGGAGGGGAAATCAACATCATCGAGCTGCACTCTTGCACCTGCCAACCCTAAGCCCAAGCCCCAACTGCAAGGCTTCATGACAGCGTAAAGGCGAATCCTTGACCTTAAGCATCAATCAATGTCAGGCTCCTCAGTCATCTACACACGGCTCACCGTTTTCGCCAATAACGCCATTGGGACTGCTGTATCTGCAAGGCCGAGAGGCTGCGTACTTGACATAGTTGGAGTACGAATGAACTGAACCAATAATTGCATGGCTACCCAATCATAAGCTTGAGTCTTCGCTCAGTTCCACCCGCCTACGAATCCCGAGTGACCCTTGTGTAGGCAGTGGGCGCAAACGGCGAAGTTCCAGGCTCCGATGACTTGGATGCAGGTGCTAAGCGAGTGCTGCATGGCCGAAGATGCTCCAAAACAAAAGCAAATTGCGTAAAGGACGTTGATTGCGGGCATGGGGAGTCCATGGAGTTTGTCCTGGTTTTCTGTGGTGGTGGAGGTTCTACAGAAAGGGGCTGTAATAAATTCAGCGCTCTTATGTGCAGGTTTATCACGTATGGTGTCTCAGCATGCCATCGTATTGGTGGCAGAGGACTGCCGGGAAAAAGATTCTGAGTAGATTTCCTAGATGGGAATGGGAATGCTCTATTGTTGGGAGCGTGTCTGTTGGGCATCTATTTGAGATCCACCATTTTAGGACAGGATAGGGCTCATATTCGCGATATTGTAGCATTGCGCAGCCATATCCCTGTACGGTAGTAGGTGGCCTGGTATGAGATACGCAGCAGCTGCTGCTGCCGCCGCTGTGGCAGTGGCGGCGGTGGCTGCACAACAGCAGCAGCACCGGCTCTTCTAGCTGGCAGCAGTAGCACACTGCCGATAGCAGGAGTAGCAGTGGCAAGAGCAGGTCATGAGCAGCACGAGTAAGAAGAACAAAGGTGCTGGATCAAAAGAGGCCTAAAGATGCCCATTGCCCCAGAGAGCATTCCCTTACATCCTTGCTATCCTGCACAGCAACAGCACAATAAGCCTCCTTTGGCGGGCTGAAATAGGATTCCCTTATGTTTGAGGAGTATCTCAACTATTTACGTGCGTCTGTGAGTCGATGAACCAAGTGTTGGGCGCTTTAGCCCTCCATCTGGGGCCCCCCTTTGCTTTTGTTAGCTTCCATGTGTCTGAACTAGAGTCGGACGTTCTACTACAAGGAAGGAACAGCCTCTAAACTCACTTGTACTCGACACCAGCTTCACAGTGAAGACCAGTACCTCACTGAGTTCATATCCGCCTGCTCAGGAATCCAGAGGTCACCACAATCTCAGCAGCTTTGGACGACAAGGCCCCATGAAAGACTTACAGATGTTTCGGCATAGAACTGCAATACAGGGCAATAATTACTGACAAGGCAATACAAGATTCGCATGCAGTATGCGTCATACTGCATTTCATCGCGGTCTTTTACTGGTCTAATTGGACTCTTCATGCGAGATCCGGCGCAAGAAAAATCCAACACCGCATTGGGGGCCAGAACTCCATGTAAGCGCATGCACCTCGCACGCAATATGGCGCCGGACTGGTCTCATTGGCTACAGCGCCTACAGTCCTCTCTACGAATGTGAAGAAGGACCATATGTTAGGAAGTCCTCGTAGGCGTTTCTCGATGGCGTACAGCGTCGCTTGAAGTGACACTGCAAGACCTGACCAACTCAAATGCCGAAAAGCAACCCATCAACGATATCCAACCCTTGAAGTCGCAGGCTGAAGCTTTCAAACCAGCAAGCCCGAACCGCAAAACAAGTATTGGAACTCCCGAGCCTCCACGCCACGTGTGAGCAAACCGAACCGAGCACTGAAAACGAAGCCTGTCGCCTGTCGCTTCCCTGGCAATGCAGCAATTGTGGTATGTGCTAGCAGCTATCCTTTCTAGCAGGCAGTGTTTTCAGTTGGTCTGGTATCGCTTGACATGAGCGACCGGCAGGCATCCCAGCATCATCTCAGCACGCTCACGGAATAGTCTTGCAAAAAGAAACCCAGACACAGCCCTGGATTCATATCAAGCATGCGCCGCAGAGATGCTTCGTTGGGAATGGTGTGGTGTTGCTATCCTGAATGGCAGCTCGTGTTAGAGAAGTGTAGTCAGTGGTGTGACTGAATGCCAGTTCCAGCTACGCGGTTTGACATGGACTCAACATCGCAGAAGACTGCGCAACTAACGTCTTGATTCTTGATTGTTATTCTGCAGGCTACATACTTGACAGTCTAATCTTCAGGGGCGTCCCGAAAAGGCCCACATTTTGAAATGACACGGTGCTTAATCCCTAGAATATTCCGCAACCTTCTACCCACCAAACATATCCGCATCATGACAGGTTTGGATTGACGTTGTGACGAAGGCCATCACGTCGGCGAACAACAATGGCATCTTGGGCAACGTTCTCTGTTGCGGGGGGAGATTGCGCTGTAGGATCAGTATAGGATTTGAGGGAGTGATGAGTTCTATACACACTGATTGTGGCTTTGCGTTTGCAAGACGGTCATTGGAAAACTTCAAAACCTTCAACGTCAGGCATGGCCATGCCTGCATGTCATCTGCATATTGCCGACGTCTGAAGAGCGTCTTTGAAGACCTGCTCCTTCTTTTCAATTTTGAGCAATCTGTACGTTGGACAGATCGCGAGGGTATTAGAAGCACCCCTTGTTGCGGAGCTCGTGAAACTCTCCAAGGGAAGCTAGGGCTACTGTAGTGGAATGGTGCGCGAGACTGCATAGGAGCATGAGTTCTCAAAGAGTCGCGGTTAGAAATTAAAAGGGCCTTGAAATTCCACAATGCTGCTCAGGCAAGATCTGTCCAAACAACGCATTCAAGGTCCAGAAGCTCCTTGGCTCGTTCCCTCCTCTTAGTGTATAGTATAAGTCCCGAAGGGTGTTTCGGATGCAATATACTCGGTGCCGGGACACATGTTTTTCATTTATCGTTGCATAGGTGTGCGCCAGTACAGAGGGTGCCCTGTAAGTTTGATTGATCCTCTTGGCGACGGTGAATGTCGCGGCGCATTGACCTGACAAACAGAGAGGCCAACTTTCAATACACAACAGCGCTGTCCTGTAAAACAGCGTCCACAGGCTAGCTGCAAGCGGTCTCCAGATTCTTGATTATGGGAAGGGCCGCGTGAACGATGCTTAGTGAAGGGTTGGTGCCAATTTCTGAGGTCTTGCATTGATTCAGCACCAACGGTTTGGGCAGCCTGGTTTTGCAGGTTGCCATCGGCGGCTGTAGCTACGAATTCATTGGGCTCACAGCTCACATGTTCAGCTTCATGCCTTACTTAGCAGTGACTTGTCCACGTAGACAGCATAATGAAACGTTGGTGTTGCTCTCTTTCAGGTTCATGATCTTGCCGACAAACTTCTCTGAAGAACAAGGACATCTTACTCCGACCAAGAGTCTCAGCTTGCAGATGGAAAGCGTAATTGCCGCAACCTGGTGCCACATGAAAAGACCTAGAAATCAGCAATGTGGAGCAATATCATTCCCCCAACATACGGGGGTCACTCAAAAAGCCCCATCTCAAACCATACGAGCACAGCAGTTCATGGGTTGCAACTGGCGCGCGTGAACGGAGTACCTTCGCCCGAAAGGGTTCGCGCATGATTTTTTCCGTGGTCCAGCATAGATCCCTTGCAAAAGAAAGGGCGGCTCAGGCAGCTAGCTTCATTCGTATGTTGAATGAAGCGTAGGCATCTTCTTGTTGGCTGATAGAAGGATCATCTGGTAAATTGTGGATCCTAGGGTGATTATGGTGGTTGCGAAAGGCGCGAAAGGGTACGCGAAAGACACATTCAAGGAATACTGAACAACCCCCAACACCGCATCCTGTTTCACTGATGTATACGGCACCTTATAAAACGTATTCTATGAATGGACTTGGCAAAAGCCGGTGCTGAGCGTTTTACTGGGGTTAGTAGGGAATGAAGGAATATATTGCATGCAGGGATTAGGTGGGGATTATATTTGCATATTCCCTATACTAACCACCGCTAGGGCTTGGCGTATGCTGGGACTGGGCCTGTTGGCTAGGAAGCTCAAGCGGCCGATCGTGGAGAAAGCCTTCACCAAGCAAGTAGACCAGATGTATGCCTCCAAGGAGACGTACGTGCGATACCAGCCATAGATTCTTGAAGCTTGGCCAGCTTGGGCCATTTGTTTTTTGTTGCATGTAGACCTCATGATTCGTGGCAATCTAGAAGAAATTAACGGAGGCTCTCAAAGGAACGAGATTCCGTGTTGTTGATATTCAGCTGGAGCCGTTTCATTGTGGGAACCATCCATCGGAGGACAAGAAAGGTTATATGATGTTATATGTAAGCGGCAGGCAAACATCGAGAGTAGTGAAGAGATTCCGAGATTTGGGGAGGGTGGCGAGCAGTAGGCACGTCTTGCTTCTTCTCAAGATACAATGAACCCTTAACCTGTTTCTTGCATTAAGGTAGTTCGTTTCCGAGGTGGGATGATATATGATGTTGTCTGCTGGGGTCTGTCCCGGATAGTATTCGCAGCCGGCCGAGTCTTCAGATGGCGGTTGAGGAGGCCAAGTTGATTCATAAGACAAAGCTTAGCGCCAGCTTTATCATTATTACATGCATTCTTTATGCCCATGAGGGGATGTGCAAAAGGGCGGGTGTCGTTGAGCTCGCAAATCTGTGGCAGCAAATTCGCGAACCTCAGCGAGGAATCTGCCTGACAATTCCTGCTTTGTAACGCCTCGCAATTTGCCGATCTGCGAGAGCCGCAAGCTCAAGAAGCGCACACCACAATGGGCTGATTGGCCTGAACACTGTTGCTGCAGCAGCCCGGGATACTTTGACTGCAAAAGCGTTTGCAAGCAGTCATCAACATCTGGAGGAATGTCATAATAGTGCTAGGATATGCTGGGATCATTGCCAGTAGTATTCTAGTTGTATTACAACCTACAACACTTTTCCAAATTGATTGTTCGGATTTTCCATGGCCTTGACAAAACTGGCCATACTTCCGGGGCTGCCCCAGTCATAGCTACATTGATCCACTGTACATATATACATATATGTGATATATATATATATACATATATGTGCATGTTATATACGTATGTATACACCTAAGTACTGCTTTGTTGCAGCTCTCCAGATGGCCACAGGCTGCGAACGAATACCTCATCATCAGGTATGCTGAAGTTTCCTTGACAAGCAGAGCTCAAAGCAAGCATAATCGTCAGCTATTTCATGACATCAAAATGATTTGCACCATGTAACCCCGGTATTTACGGGCTGTCGGTTTGTGTGTAAAGTCTGAAACCTCGTCTTGAGAGGAGCTCATATTCGGAGTGCATTGTACCGTCCCCATCCTGATCACAAACAACCCCCAAACAACCGCGGCTTGGCAGATGTCACAGTTGTGGGCGTTTTAACAACGCGTCAGAGTCTTGACATCTTTTCGCGGCTTGCTTCTCGGGCTGAGTTGGGGGGGCTTCTAACGTCATGCTACCTTCCAATACGGTGTCAAGAGGGTTATATAGCCCTTGACGAGATTGAGTCTGCCAACCTGTGCCCTCCTTGCATTGGTGCGTGCAAAAACACAGCCCCAGGCCGGCGAATTCGTGCCCAATCCTCACGTAAATCTGCTCTAGCAGCTAGGCTAGATGTAGCATGTACACAGTGCTGGGCCAGCCTTTGATTACCCTCTCCGCACCGCTGCCGTCAGTCTGCGGCGTGCAAAAATGAACTGAGCCGCTGAGCCGCGCAGAAAGTTTTAACTTCGGCGCTGTCGCTTCTTTGCAGGCTCTAAGCCAACATCAGCGTACCTATACCTCTGGAAGGTTGTCTTTCGCATGTTGACTTGGTCCCAATTAAGGTATGAGCAAGGAGTTTTGGTGTGAAAGCAGTGCCTACGCTTAGCGCTGCGTAGTGCGTTCTTTTCGCCTTGTCAGTCACACTGCTGCCTGCGTGTCAAGTGCTTTGCCACATTTTGAGCGCGTTGACAGCACAAATGCATGAATACACATGTATGTTACAAGTTTTGGTGATCTCCTACTACACGACTCGGCTTAATTTAGGATGTACACAGCTGCTGCTGCGTCAAAGAACCAGCTAACTTGTCTTAGCACAACGCTACGCTGTAATTTCTTCCCCCTCTTACAAGAGCTGTTGACAGACAAGACTAACCCTTGACCTTGGAGCCCCCAGTCTTACATGAGCGTGAGCTATGCTTACAGCCGGCTAAATCCATCAGGTCCCTCACAGTGATTTCCTGACATCCCGCTCCTGCGGTAGTTTACTACAGATAAGTTCACTGAGGTCTGTTCTTCAACTGTAGCCAGCCCTTAGCATGGCGCAATGGTCTTGGAACTCGCAGCCTGTGGATCACTGGCAGCTGGAAAGCAGTCTGCAAATAACAGGGCGACAGAGATGCAGGAGTACGTGCCTTGTGATGGTGTTCTGGCAACCTGCATGCATGCTACAGCTTCTGTCCCGGCATCCTAAGAGAGATAATTGCTTGCTAATCAAGGTCATACCTGGACTAGAAGCAGCTCAGGAAATGTGTGGCTGCTCTACCGCTGCCTCTTCGCCAGGCTGGCGAGATGGCTTGATAAACCCGATCTACGATGTTGCATCATAGGCCGGTACGCTTTGATACTGGCCGTAATCATGCCACGTTGAAGCGTAAGAAGCGTAAGGGATGTCTTGATTGTCTGGGAGCATCGGTGTCATAAGGGTATACCGTGGTGCGGAGACTGTAGGGTGCCAGGGTGTATCAGCGCGCTTGCTGTAGGATGCACGCATCGAAGTCTTACAAGATTGAGGCCTCCTCCCTTGATGCACACGTGTAAAACTCCACATTGAAGGATCCTGGCCCTCCAAATCACAACCAGACCCCCATGAGGCTGTTGGGATTTCGGATCTTCGTCCCTCTCTAGGTAGCACACGAACTTCCAATGGGTGTCTCAGAGGTGCCTCTTTGTGGAGGGTACTGGTCCCGGGATTGGCGGACTCTTCCAAATGATGGTTGCTGCACCAGGCATTACTATGCGTGGCAGCTGGAATCAGCAGAAGACATCCAGGCAAGCCACATCATGTCAGCAGCTCAACGGGCAAGTAGGGCCTTGAGATAGCTATGCGCTATATAACTAAATCGTGAGCCTTGCACCAGGGAAGTGAACAAGCACGTTGTTAAATTGCTCTAAGGGGTCAGAATCTACATCGCTTTGCAACTACGCTTTTAGACCGTCAGAACATACCTACCTGCCTGAAGGCAGGGACCGATCACGTCTAGCAAGAACCCCTGGCTTGGCGAAGTAATTGGATTGGACAGATTTGTAGCAATCGAGGAAGGACCACTCGAGATGTTCCCGTCATTGTAGGGTCCCTGTTCTGAGATGGGG